GATAAAATTAATAGAAAAAGAAATGTATTTTGGAAATTGTGTTAACTTAGGGAAAAGTGGGATTCAGAGCTTAAATTACATGGTTAAAATCAGTCTCTGGAGTCGACCCTCACTTTGGCTACTGGCTCTTCAACTTGTTAGATATGATACCATGAAAGCATTATTTTACTTCTCTGAACCCTAGTTTCTACATTTGTAAAATGGGGATAAGAGTGACTACCTCATGAAATGTTGTGAAGTCAAATGAGATAATGTATTTGAGAAGCAAACAAAATGCCTACCACACAAGTTAGTGTTTTGATATGTTAGCTATTTTTTAAAAAGTATAACTAGCATGAGATTGAGAAAACATTATACCTAAGATAATTCTGGGGAAAAAAATTCCAATTTTTTAAGAAGTAAAAAAAAGGACCTATTTTCTTTTTATGAATGTCTTATTCCTATCAGCCAAATGTTTAACTTAATCTTTAATATTAAGTTCAAGTTCCAACTCATTCATGAAAACTGTCTTGATGATTCCATCCACACTAATCTAAATAAAATCCTGTGTGCATATAAAGTAAACCACACTTTAGGCATTTTATAACAAAATGTCATTCTATTTAAATTAGATACTAATAATATCCTATGAGCACATACTTTTTATATATTTTTCAATTACCATTTTTACACTTTTATGTGCCATTTTGTCAACAATCAATGAGGTATTAGTTTTTAGATTCAAAACTGCTCAACATAGTATGTATGCAAAAAGATTTGTTTGATTTTGAATTCTGATTTTAAGGGAATACAAATATATTGATAAGCTAGAAATCCTTAATGGTTCAGAGGATCTTTTCATATTAAAATGTAGGGGAAAGTATTGTTATGGGAAAAAAAAGATAAATGACAATTCCTAAAAGTGAAAACCAAAATAGCTTTTTTTAAAAAATGAACTAGACTAATGGTATCTCCAACAGCAAAGGTACAAGGGCTAATTCTTGAGTACTTGGTTAATGTGTAAACACAGAGACAACTTCACAAGAACATATAATGGTTAAGTAGGAATTCAAAGCATTCATAAGTTTATTTCTTAGCTCTGGCACTTAATGTTCTAGAAGCAGGTCCACTTATTAATCTATACTAAATACAAGACTTCAATGCTATCTGTATAAAAATAAAAACAATGGCTTAGAGTTGTGTAAAGAACTGAATCTAATTAAACAGGAGTACCATAATCTACCTGTTATCATTCTCAAAATGAGAATGCTAAGGAAACGTGTGTATTTCCTTTTTTTAGCAATGGTCATTTAATTGTAAGTGGTTCATCTAGATACACGTGTATTTCTTTCTCTTCATTTAATTGTAAATGATTTTCTACAAAATAAGAAGTTTAGATGAAACCATATGTAATTCCCAAGTGAGATTTGCTTTAAAAAATTTGGGTAAATGTATCAATTTTATGTGTGATTAGAATTCCTACCATGCATACTTTGCTTATTTCAATACTATTTTATTATGACCATAGTTGTTATAAAACCAGAAAAAATTGTAAGGACAGTGGCTTATTTATATATACTATCTGCAAAACAATATCTATAACATAGCAGTTAAAGAGCATGCAATTTAGAGCAGACATCCTAAATTTGAAGCCCTGGACTTTTGTCATATAATTTTTAAAGCCTTGGACTTTTGTCATATAATTTTACCTATCTGTATCCTGTTCCCCTCCAAGTAAAATAAGGACAATAACAGCATCTACACCACACATCATTTTGAGAATTAAGTGAGTACCTATAACAGTGCCTGCCACATAGCAAATACTCATAAAAGAGGGCTATTACAAGAGTTAAATTTAAAATGTCTATTCTAAAGTATCTTCATGAACACATCTGAAAAAAATTTATGTTCCAAGTTAGAACTCTTATTTTTCAAAAACTCTGTAATTAATTGCATGCAATTAAGTGAAAACTTTTTTTTTCTTGCTACTCCTTCACACTGCAAATGTGAAGTAATACTCAACTCAAGCAGTTATTATTCTTCAAAAATACTTACAATACTCATAGAGTTGAACCATACCCAGGAAAGTGAAAAGTTAAAGTAACGGACCCAGCACCTTTAATTCCCAAACTAGGAATACAACCCTTAGCTGGCACTGCCTTTAATAAAAATACACCTTGTGTGGGCAAAATATCTCACTCAGTATGGGGATATCTGCCACGTGTGGTGGCATACAGCTGTAATCTCTAGTAACTCAGGAGGCTGATGCAGGAGGATCGTAAATTCAAGGCAAGCTTCAGTTTCAAAATAAAAAAATTTAAAAGGGTTGGGGGGGCTGGGGATGTGGCTCAAGCGGTAGCGCGCTCGCCTGGCATGCGTGCGGCCCGGGTTCGATCCTCAGCACCACATACCAACAAAGATGTTGTGTCCACCGAGAACTAAAAAATAAATATTAAAAAAAAAAAAACTCTCATGTGTATCTCTGAAAAAAAAATAAAAAAATAAAAGGGTTGGGGATGTAGTTTAGTGATAGAGAGCCCTTGGGTTCAATCCCCAGTAAAATAAAAAAAATAATTAAAAAAAAGAATGGCAACATTTATTGCATAGGACTAATATAGTATTGTCAATGTTCTAGGTTTATCTCACTCAACTAAACACAAATCAAAGAAAGCAACTGTGCATTGGCTACTGAACTTAATAAATGGTGTCATACATCTTCAGGATAAGAAAACATCCTGAGCTGAAATGAACCTATGTAAGAACAGCAACATTTCTAAAAAAGTGTAAAAATCAATTTAGTAATGTCACTTTACAAGAGTTTTTTAAACTTGGCATTTGTAAACATCTGAAATTACACATTCTACATGTCTAGTGTTTTTCTAGGATGATGACCTAATGCTTTCACTATTCTCAAAAGGGAGTGTTATCCCAAAAGGTTGATAATCACTATTTTTTACAGTATACAAATTTCCTTCTTTTCTTATATATTAGTTTCACAAAAGAGCCTGCTTATATAAAATAAGCAGTATAATTTCATATCCATCTCCATTTCACACTTCCGAAATAACCATGAATGCGTGTGACAAAAATTCATAACTACAAAAACACTTCAAGTAGCCAAGTAAGAGGATCGCAAATTCGAGGCCAGCCCCGGCAATTTAGCGAGATCCTGTCTCAAAAAATAAAAAGGACTGGGTATATAGCTTAGTGGTGAGCGCTTGCAGGAGGCCCTGGGCCCTCGGTTCAAAGTCCATCCAGAAGGACTGGGGGGGGGGGGAGGGGGCACTGCAAGTTATCCAGAAGTTCTTAAAGCCTACGAACCTTTCCTACAGCTGTAATTATAGAGTAAAGAGAAATGAGGAGCACAGAAGAACCATTAAAAAGAAGGGTAAGCTTTAACCAATGAAAAATGAGGATGTAAGAAAAAACGAGGATTCTGTGATACAAGGACGACCTTCGAATTACCGATTAAATACAGTTAAAACTGCAACAAAGACAGCCAAATTTCAGTTTTCTGTAGTAGAAAGAACAGTTTAGGAGGAAGGGTTTGTAAGTTCAAAAAGACCTATGTAAAATTCACTCTCTAAATACAGAAAAGTTTATAACGCCCATAAATCTAAACAATATTCTGCTTTAATTTACAACTGCCCCACAATTTACTACAACAACTTATTAGCAAAATCATACCATACTTAATGAGGTTTCCTTAGAAGTATAGGCAGCGATTGGAGACTATTGTTTCTAAAATCATCCAATTGTGGTTAAATGATAGTAGCTTTCAGTTCAACCCCATGAACCCTTAAATTTGACAACAAGTCAAATACAAACGAAAAATGTCAACCAAACTAAAGTCAACGAAATAAAGCTGAGATTTGTTTCCTTTCCTCGCCCTTGGGTACCGCACCTCTTTGTGCACTGGGTCCGAAGGTCTCCTAACCTCAAACTCCAGTTACCAACCCGGCTGAGAATGCCCGGCAGGAAACCCTGTCGTAATCCTCTGGGGAGCTTGTGCTAGACGTTGGACTCGTCGGCGGCTGTTGACGGGCACGAACACCGAAGCAGTCTCGATGCCTGACGTTGTCCCGTAGGGCCCGAAACCAAGACCAGGGGCGCGTAGTCACCGGAGACCGGGCCTCAGGCTGGCAGAGCCAGCAGAGACCGAGGCCGGGGTCCCAGCTTCCTGGGCACAACTTCAAGGCCCGATGGCCGTCGAAGAGGGCAGAAGGCAACAGGCGGACACAACTGCCCGGGACCCTCAGCGACCGGTTCTGCGTTAGCACCGCGCCGGTCAGACTCTCTCAGGATTCGCCGCCGCCCCTCCTCCCCGGCCCAGGGCCACCTCCACGTTCCGCTCCAACGTGGCAGCCGCAGCCCCTCCCTGCAGGCCGACACTTCCGGGTGCGACGCCTTGCTCCGCCCACTTCGGCGCGCGGTCGGCCACGGTACTTCCGGGAGTTGCGGCCGGTCAGGTATCAAGTCCAGTGCTGCGATTTAGGGACCCTCGTTTGCAGCACGTGTGGTTGTAGACACTTTTCTGTAAGATTGGGCGGAGGTTGTGGATGCAGTAGCCACACTACGGGTAAAGGAAAAGTCCTGCTGGTCCTTGCGGTCTGGCTTATGGCGGTGGCCCGCAGGAATGCCACGTAGTTCTGTGAGGCGCCAGCAGCCCTTGAGCTACTGCCAACGCCAAACTACGTGAAAATCGGGCTACAAGGAGCTTATTGCAGTTTGCCTGGGCTCTTTAAATTGCCTATTGTTTTTACAGTTATGTGTCTTGAGAATTGAAATTGGATGATCTTGTTATACTCAAAGATTATTTGTAGAAATAGTTGATTTAATGCTCCAAAGGGGCATACCTAAGTGGGCCGAGGTATGTTAATTTGTTAGTATCCTTAAAGTTACTATCCCATTAAGTCCAGACCCATTACAACTAGCCGTGGGCAAGTAGTAGTTTGAGCATCCCCAATCTGAAAATAAAGAACTTTTGAGCGCCTACTTGACGCTCAGATTAAGGAGCTTTTCAGGTTTCAGATTGGCGATGTTCAATCAGAAAAGTCTATGCAAATATTTCCAAGTACAAAAAACTAAAATCTTTCTGGTCTCAAGCATTTCACAAGAGATGCTCCTACTTTCCTCAGACCCTTGATGTGTTACCTCAATGCACTTGAGTTTAGGGAGTAATAATTTTATAGTCAATTTTATAGTCAAACCAGAGAAAAACATTAAATATTAAAACCTGCACTCAATCTAATGTCTCCTAACTTCTACCCCCGTTCACTTTCCATTATACCTATCATCCAAAGCCAGTTCTTTAAGGAAACCTTGCCCACCTGCCATAACTGGAATGTTCTTGCACACAAAAATATAAAATATGGTCAATACTACCATATTGGAGTAGAATTTTTTTTTAATTCACTGTACTCTTCCCAACACCTTCAGTTTCCTACATGTGCGGCTCAATTTTAAAAAGTATTTTTCAACAGGTTTGAAATAGACCAGCTCAAGCATATTACTAGTTTTTCAGTGGCTAATTTTGAGTATGTTCTAAAATACTTTCCATTCTAACTTATAGCTGCAAGACTTATCTAGAGGGGTCAACAAAAAACCTGACTTAAAAAAGTGGGACCATCCAGCTAGGTGCAGTGCTGCATGCCTGTAATCCCAGCAGCTCTGGAGGCTCAGGCAGGAGGATGACCAAAGCCAGCCTTAGCAACAGAGAGGCACTAAGCAACTCAGTGAAACAGTTTCTATTAAGTACAAAATAGGACTGGGATGTGGCAGGCGCGCACACACATACACACACAAGTGGGACCATCCTTTGAGCCAAGAGAAAAAGTTTACCTTCTGAACTCTCTTCTTATTATCCGAGTCCAAAGACTCCCTGCTACTTGGAAATGTGCATTAGTATGGAAAGATTCATTGTAACTCCTACTCTCACCCTAAAAGCAATAATTGAAGCATAAATCAGTCACCTCCAAACCTTGCCTCCTCCCCCAAAATTCCAGGCCTTGTGAATAGTTGAAAAACGGGAAAAAGTGCAAAAGAAAATATCTTAAAATATTTTGAGTTCAAAGCCAGCCTCAGAGGCTGGGGATGTGGCTCAAGAGGTAGTTCGCTCGCCTGGCATGTGTGCGGCCCGGGTTCGATCCTCAGCACCACATACAAAGATGTTGTGTCTGCTGAAAACTAAAATTCTTTCTCTTAAAAAAGCTAGCCTCAGCAGTTAGGACCCTATCTAAAATACAAAATAAAAAGGACTGAGGGTGTGCACACGCTCAGGGGTTAAGCAACTCAGGGTAAAAAAAAAAAAATGTGATTGAGACTCAAATTTTGGTATTCATAAATAAAATTTATCAGTACACATTCACACTTGATGGTTATTGTTTATAGCTGCTTTAAGCTATACAAAGGCAGAGCTGAGTAGTTGTAATCATGATCACATGGGCCTTCAAAGCCCAATATTTACTGGAAAATGTTGTCACTCTAGTAGGGTGTGGCCTACAAATGGATTGATAAATGAACTCCAAATATGAGAAATCCAATACTATAAACTAATTTCAAAACTTTGGTATTCAGTATACAAAGGCAAAATGAATAAATATCTGTAGACTTGATATGTGTATTTATATTTGGTTTAATGTGTTTTAAATGCAGGCACAATGCAATCTAAGTCTTTGGGGAAATATATAATTATTCTGTTTCCTTAAAATTGGTCAAAAAATTAATTCTCAGCCAGGCACAGGTATGTAATCCCAGTTGTTAGGGAGGCTGAGGCAGGATTGAGAGTTCAAACGCCAGCCTCAGCAACCATAAGGTGCTAAGCAACTCAGTGAGACCTTGTCTCTAAATAAAAGACAAAATAGGGCTGGGGGTGTGGCTCAGTGGTCAAGTGCCCTGGAGTTCAATTCCTGGTACCCCCCCACAATTAATTCTGATGGGAAGGGAGGGGGGACAGGAATAGAAAGACAGTGGAATGATTGACATAACTTTGCTATGTACATACAGGAATACCCCACAGTGAATCTCTACACCCCATGAAACTGGAATCCTAATTAGAATAAAATGTAATCCGTGTTTGTATAAATAAGTCAAGTTATAGTCTACTGTCATGTATAACTAAAAAGAACATTAATTAAAAAGAAAAAGCACAGAAAAAATTAAATTCTTGATATTTATTTTAAATGCAAAAATATTACCCTGCAACTTTTTTGTAAAACTACCATTTAATTCACTATAATTAAAAACATTAGAAGCTGAAAATTAGTTTTTTAAAAATGTAAATAATTTATCAAGAGTAGTTTTAATAGCACTTGACTTCATATTATTTACAATAAGCACTGAACATCTTTCCTATGCCTTGACATAGGAACCACAAATTTTACACGTTTCCCTTTCAAGGTCATTAAGTATCTCTGAGAATTTGATGTGAAGGGTTTTTGCTGGCATCACTTCCTCTGAGGTATGTTCATCTTTTATGTCACAACCACTTCTATCACTCATGCCAAGAGGTTCACCTTCACTAAGTTCATCTGGCTTTTCTTCAACTGGCTCTTCAACAGCAGCAGTATCAAATTCCTTCCCAGCCCACTCTACTATAACACTGCATTGAAATCCTACAAGGTGGACTCAATGGAGTCCTACAGTAAGTAGGACTACTTGTATCTGGGAATCTGGGTACAAATTTCATAGTAGTGCCTTTATCTGAGTTTGCAACTTAACCAAGTAGATTAGCATTAACCAATTCATGTTGACTCCTGAAATAATGAATCCAGCTTTACTGGCAGTAAAATTTTTATTTTCAGTTTCATTGTTAATTATTTTCTTTCATTGCAACAGCTAACAACAGTGCTTGGGCCTGAATGCTAGCTAGCCAAACTGGGATCTGTTTTTGATTAGTCTTCAATTTTGACTGTAAATGGCTTTCTGTTAGTAGCACAAATTAAATTAAGATATGATGACAACTAACTATATATTCAATGCAGTTCACATTGTAGCTTCTTGCAGGCTTTGCTTTGCAGCTGACACTTTCAAATCTTCTAATCACACCCACTTTTACTTCTAGCATTATCCATTTTCATTTCTTTGCTACACTGTCACCTTTATCGACCAATTCCTTCTTTTGATTATCCATTTTTGTAAAAGAGTTCAGTCTCTGGGATACAAAAAAGCAGTAAAACTATGCACTTTGCTATCAGTGCAAGGACTGAATAAATTATTAGTAAATAATCACCATCAGACTTTAAAAGAAGTGAGTGGTCACTGATCATGATGTACATCTTTTATTTGCAAAATAATTTGTGAACTGAAGAACTAGCAGCAAAATTTATATAACTATTTTCAGTTAATACTTTGGTAACTAATACTTGTGCCTATTAAGACTACTGTACTGAAAAAGAAAATAATCATTTTACAAAAGTCAATTTTTAATCTTTTAATAGTTGACCATAAATTAATCAAGTTTTGTCCTGGATCAAATAAAAACAAAACTTGTCTCAAACAGTGCTAGTTTCAAGACTGAATTACTCAGTAAAGGTAGAACAATGTGTGGATATAATTTAAAGAACAATTCAAATTAGGATTTATACATGATCAAAAAAATATTATTTTGAAAATTGAGACTCCCCCTTTCATTTCAATAATCTTCAAGTCTTCAAGGAGTGAAGTTCTAGAAAAAATAACCACAAGGAACAAGATGGTCAGTTGTGTAGTTTGCTCCCTAACAGCCAGTACAGTACTATGCTTACATTTTAGCAAAACAGCAGCATTCCTTCTATTAATGTTTTAGCTTTATTGTTTTTGGATGCATTTATTTCATACATCTTTTTCATATGGGCTATAAAAAAATTATCAACTTTTAGGTTTAGCATCTTTTGTATGCATTTAATGAGAAATTAAGTTATTAAGATTTCTCTTTGCAGGATGTATATGTTCTTTAAATTTGGGAAATGGGTATGATAAAAGACACAATTAATGACAAAATTGGTAATAGATTTGAGATTCTCAGCTACCACTTTCCTATTATGTTATTGGATAGTCATCCATTGGAATTATGTATGAATCATTTAAATAGCAAAAAATAAACAAATGTAAACTCTGGGAAATATAATCTCTAAGAATTTCAAGGCCTGAAAGGATTATATCATTATTTCTAAGAAAAGATGACTATTAAAAGTCCTTCTTCGGGCTGGGATGTGGCTCAAGCGGTAGCGCGCTCGCCTGGCATGCGTGCGGCCCGGGTTCGATCCTCAGCACCACATACCAACAAAGATGTAACAAAGATGTTGTGTACGCCAAGAACTAAACAATAAATATTAAAAAATTCTCTCTCTCTCTCTCCTCTCTCACTCTCTCTTTAAAAAAAAAAAAAAAAAAAAAA